ACTACATACAGTCATAGGTATTAAACTAATAGTTCATGTAAAAACTGTTCTAAAGTAATCATCTGAGCTACAGTATCTTAACAACATGGGTTTGCTCTTGATAGTACTTTGGTGCTATGCTACTAGCTTAATGTATAAAAGCATTAATATTTTAGTGTTAGTGTAGAAACAAGAAAAAGTTCTCCCTGAGAGGTAAAGGACCAAACATTACAAAACCTACAATCAGGTCAAATCCTACTTATTATTACAAAAAAGCATAGCTTTTATTAAAACATAATACAGAAATAGTGAAAGGATAGGGAGAACAAATTCAACAGAAAACAAGGAAAAAGTACCTGTGTTCTATCCAACTAGTTACACTTGGGAAGGACATCGTTATTCAGGAGTTTGAGGATAATGAACTCAGAAATAAAAGGTAGAACAACTAATTCTCTGAGGTGGGTAAATGCTGTATTTCTTAAACTGAAACAGAACAGAAATACATGATAAATGAAGAGGAGAAAAGGTACTTTTTCTCTCTGAAGCATGCTTCAACGATTTCTAGTGATATTCCAAAGTTCAAACCAGAAAACTTTGAGACAGTGGTGGCCTTTAGGTAGATAATAGTAAATACTTAACTACACTGCAAGTAACTTTATTGTATGTTGGATTTATATAATAACTTAGCAATAGTTATAATATCTTTTATCTAAGTGTTTATTATTATATTTTCCAACTTCTTCTTTATATCAAATCAATATATCAAGACAATAAAATTGCTTATAGTTAATAGCTCACTTGAGGCCAGCTACTGAATGTTCCAGAGGGAAGGAAACACGAGGTAAGCATGCCCATAACAAAGATCAATTCCGATCTCTTCCTGTGAAGGTGACGGAAGAACAGCAGTTACCATAAGCAGGTCCGTTGTTGGTGATGTAGCTCACTACTGCTCATCTTAAAACTTCACGTGGTCAATTGAGTTCAGTAGAATTACATTGCTGGAAAATGTACGCGATGGCTAGACCCACTACGTGACACAGTATTACCCTCTTTGCCTGTTCGGGTGCCCTGCCCCAGAATGGGACCTTGAGCCCTGTGGTGGGTTTGGGATGTTTCTACTCCAGGCAGGGGAGATTTAGGCACTAGAGCATGATTCATGTCTGGAGATGAGAGAGTGGCTGTAGGAAAGGTCAAGGACAGGATGCCCCTCACTGGTGATTAAATGCTTAGCTGAAAAGGTCAGAGGAACATCAGCCTCCACTCGCAATTCTCTGGCTCCTGTAATTAGGCACCTTTGCCCTTTAGGAAAAAAAGAAGCAAGGGGCCTTTTGGTAAAGATGCCATATTCCATACCTATACCTGCCTGGGAAGCCTGTGTAGGGCTACTCTTCTGTGCATGTGAAAAATCTACCTGCAGAGAGAACCTGAATGGAGGAGCAACTTTGGCAGGCAGCCCTCATCTTGGCTGAAGTAAGATGAATAATCTGTTGTCAGAAGGGTTAGGCACCCATGCTTAGCACTGCAAATGTGAGATTCAGGCTCTGCATCCAAATATGTAATCATACCGAATCCATCACTCTTACTTATTCAGTGTAAAAATCCAGGCAGAACATTTGGTTTCGTGCCAGCTGTAAAATTCAGGTTTTCTTTGTCTATCTCCTGTTGTTTGTGTAGGTAGGTAACTTGACAATCACACACTGATTGCACATAGTGAAAAGCTGCAAATGAAGAGAGTACAGATTACTTTAATCTGCCATGTAAGACCCTTAATCAGTTTGGGTTTGACATTGTCCTGGTTTCAGCTGGGATATAGTTAACTGTCTTCCTAGTAGCTGGTACAGTGCTATGTTTTGAGTTCAGTATGTGAAGAATGTTGATAACACTGATGTTTTCAGCCGTTACTCAGTAGTGTTTAGACTAGAGTCAAGGATTTTTCAGCTTCTCATGCCCAGCCAGGGCACCTGACCCAAACTGGCCAACAGTGTATTCCATACCATGGGACGTCCCATCTAGTTTAGGAACTGGGAAGGGGGGGGGCAGGGATTCGCCGCTCGGGGACTGGCTGGGTGTCGGTCGACAGGTGGTGAGCAATTGCCCTGCGCATCATTTGGACATTCCAATCCTTTTATTACTACTGTTGTCATTTTATTAGTGTTATCATTATCATTATTAGTCTCTTCTTTTCTGTTCTATTAAACCGTTCTTATCTCAACCCAGGAGTTTTACTTCTTTTCCTGATTTTCTCCCCCATCCCACTGGATGGGGGGGAGTGAGTGAGCGGCTGCGTGGTGCTTAGTTGCTGGCTGGGGCTAAACCACGACAGACATCTATATTACAGAAATTTTGTTTTGGCTGATAACTCAGAGCATCAGAAGACTAAGAACTTTTTGTAAAAGTTTACATTCATTTTAGAAAACAATTATACGGACAAAGACAAGATGTGTTTGTAACTAGTGTTATTTTTGGCTGTCATTGTGGAATCTTGCAGAGAAGTTAGATTTTTTTTTTTTCCTCTTTTGAAACTTCATGAAAACAAAGCCACATTCCACAAAACACCAAATCTTTAATCTTACTGCTGAAGTATTTCTGAATTCCTCGAATGTCGCTCTCCAAAGACATGACAACCTTCAAAGTGCCTATTAAACCTGCAAGTGCATTGCCTGTACAGTCAGTAACGACACTATTTTGTCTGCCATCTTTCATACACAGCATAACTTCAGAGGGCTTTGATTCAACCTTGTAGAATGTTTTAAATAAATGTGTTCCAGAAATTTCTAAAAAGCTTTCTGGATACAGTGGGGAAATCTAGTGTGGATGCTGCGATTGATACCAAAAGGCTCCACAAAGGCCTGAAAAAGGGGGGGGGGGGGTGGTGGTGGTGCTGATGTGTTGCCATAATGCAGTGGTGTTAATATGTTTCTCCAGACTAGAACAGGACAAAGTAGCTTTCCAGTTCTTTCTTTTCACTGAAAATATATGTAGTTTCATCTTTCTACAAGATAAAGCAACTATTCAGAGGCAAGCACAGCTGATCTAGATAAACATTTCTTAGACAGTATTTTATTACTGTATCATATTCATGGAAATATCTTCAGACATTTTTATTTTGTTAATTATGGCTATCTATTTTTTAAATTTTAAGAACTGTGCAGAAGTAATGATAATATATTCTCTTTACTGAGTGAGAATTTCCTGCTTCAGTTTGAAGCATGTCAGAGCCTAAGAGATCTGACTTCACTACCATGATTTTACAAAGCTGGTTGTGAGCAGGTAACGGCCCTAACTTAGTTGCTGTCATTATTTCCATTGATGCAGAACTGTTTATGATGTCTTGGATGAGGATGAAGCTAGAAAGGGCACCGTCTCATGAAATCAGTTTTATTCCGTAGCAAGCGCGCCCTGCATAGGTGAGTTTGGCGTGAGGGCTGGGGGAGAAACGGTGACTATGGTCAGGGCTTGGTGTAACGCGTAGAGGGTGCGCCACAGGTTGTCTTATGGCGGCGTGCCCGGGCCTATCTGCGCTCCCAGGTGGGGGGAGGCGGCGGTTGGGAGGCTGCCAGTGCTGTCCGAACTCCCACCTGTTGAAGTGCCACGGGGAGCCCGATTTTGTTTTAAGGTGCTGTACTGAGGAGAAGATGAGTTTCAGGATGAGGTGGGATGTGCAGTGAGGTTACTGTAACAGGCGGAGGGTTGGCTTGGCACCAATGGTCCGGCTAAAATTGCAGCTGCCGTCGGCATTCTTGGGGTGATCGTGTCTGAAGGGCTGGGATGTTTACAGCGTGTTTGGGGTTACTTTTGTGGCTGAAAGAGGGGGTGGGCCGCTGGCTGTCCCCGGTGAACGAACCCTGCCGGGTCTCCCGGCGTGTTTGCGCCGCTGGTATTTAGAACCTTCAGAGGCAGCAAGAGGGCTTGCAGCTCGCTCCAGGCGTCGCTGGCCGTGACCGACGCGGCCCCGGCAGTCACGGGGGTGCCTGCACGTACGGTGTCCCGTCACGGGGGCTTAGCGGCGGCCGGGGAGCTCCATTCACTGGTTTCGCTGAACGAAGCGGCTCTCCAAGTGGCAGCGGGGAACCCGCAGGTCCGGCCGCAGCGCTGCCTTTCTGAGCCGTCGGGGGCCGGACTGCGCGTGCTCGCGGGGGGCCACCGGCGGGGCGGCCGCCACCGCCGCCTGGAGCGGAAAGGGGCAATTCAGCAACTTTGCGGGAATTCCTGGCTAGTTTACGCAAGCGTGCGGGCCGCCTACAGCGGAGCTGCCTCGGAGCTCCCAGCCCGGTGCGCTCCCTCGCTCGTCAAAGTCACTCGTGAGCGGACGGGGGTTCTAGCAGAAGACGCAGTCGCGCGACGGCATCAGGCCATAAACTC